CCAGTGGGTCCCCTCCAGGAAGTAGTGAAGACTCCAGAAATGTCCCTTCTCCCCATCCTACGAGTAATCGCATTTGCTTTTGTAATTCTTAATGAGCAATATCTGCGGGAGTTTAGCTGTAACGGTTCTTTGTGATCGTTTTTTAAGTAACTAAAAACACCAAAAAATCCAGAAACTCGTTCTTCCAAAGCAGAGAGCATTATAATCACCAGGGCCAAAAGCTTCCCTCCCCGCATCATTGCTTCCGAGGCCTGAATCCAAAAGAGAAAGGGTCACAGGCCCCTGAGCGGCTGGGCTGCCCTCAGGCCCCTCGGAGGACCAGGGCTGAGGCAGCCTCGGCCCACAGCCTGGGGCCTGCTCCAGGTGCGTTCAGTATTAGCAGTGGGTCGCGATGTTCTTCCCAGCCTGCTTGGGGCGGGGGCAGAGGAGGTGAGGAGGCCGTTGCCGCTGATGTTGGCCGCTAACAGGTGGGTGTCCGCGTGCGTCCACGTGCGTGTCTCTGACTGCTGTGAAATCGTCGCCCGAGATAGCCCCGCCCCGATGGAGCGGGGCCACCCGGTTCAGTGTTTGGGGAGCTGGACAGTGGCGTGCAAAAGGCTTGCAGAACGTGAAGCCTGCTCCTTCCCTTGCTCCCACGGCCTCCTTTCCGTTTGATTTGTCACTGCTTCAATCAATGACAGCCGCTCCAGAGTCAGTAGTCGATGAATATATGACCAAATATCACCAGGACTGTTACTCAATGTGTGCCGAGCCCTTCGCGGGCTCCGTGTATCTGGACACTGTAACGTGTGCTGTGTTTGCTCTCCTCCCCTGCCCTCTTCGCCCTCTCCTTGTCTTTCTGGGGTTTTTCTGTTTGGGTTTGGTTTGGTTTTTATTTCTCCTTTTGTGTTCCAAACATGAGGTTCTCTCTACTGGTCCTCTTAACTGTGGTGTTGAGGCTTATATTTGTGTAATTTTTGGTGGGTGAAAGGAACTTTGCTAAGTAAATCTCTTCTGTGTTTGAACTGAAGTCTGTATTGTAACCATGTTTAAAGTAATTGTTCCAGAGACAAATGCTTCTAGACACCTTTCCACACACAAGCATTCGGAGGGAGGGAGACGGAGATGGAGACGAGAGAGGAGAGCCCAACAGATGACCCCTGTCCAGATCAGCCAGAAACCACCCAAAGAGGGAAGCCCCGGAGCCCATTCCGAGCCCACAGACCAAATAGCTGATGGTTGACCATTGTCCAAGTCAGAACAAAACCAGTTTCTGTTCCGCACATGGATTCTTTTTTGCTTTCCCCCCCGAGATTCTTCCCCTCATCATGATTTTTAAGGAAAGACAGGGTTGATGGTCCTTCGAGGGGAGCCGGGAGGGGATGTGTGTGTGCACAGTGACCTCGCTGCGGAGCAAAGTCGGGCCTGGGCCTGCCTGAGCGCGGGGCTGGACGCTCCTGCGGGCACAGGGCAGGCACACTCCCGGCAGCTCTTCCTGGGCAGGCCGGCGGGCGGACATGCTCGTCTCCAAGGTGCGCCCATGGGCATCAGCATTTGAAACACTTCTGTCACACACATAC